CTGATGATGATGCTTATGGTGATGAGGAGGAGGAGGGGTTGGAGCAGATCATGGAGGGGGAGGAGATGGAGCAGACAATCGAGGGGGAAGAGAAGGAGGAACATATAATTGAGGATGATGATGACGATGGTGATGCGGAGGAGGAGAAGGAAGAAGAGGAGGAACAGCAGGACCAATACCATATACTTGAGGATGATGGTGATGGAGATGGTGATGACGACGAAGATGCTGCAGCTGAGAGTGGTGGTGGTGAGGAGGAGGACGAGGAGGAGGAAGACGATATGGAGCATACCATTGAGGAGGGGGAGGGGGAGGAGGGGGAGGAGGAGGAGGAGGAGGAGGAGGAGGAGGAGGAAGAGGAGGAGAAGATGGAACATACAATTGAGGAGATAGCGGAGGTTGAATATTATGATGGTAGTCGTGATGACGAAGAGGAGGAAGAGGAGAAGGAGGAGCATATACATGAGGAGGAGGATGAGGAGGAGCAAGAGCCTCCCTTCCACGCTGTCGCGCCGCGCCGCCGCGCCGCCGCGCGCGCCCACAGCGTCACCCCTGGCGGGAGCGAGTCGAGCCCGGCCACCTGGCGGCAGAACCAGGCTGGCGCCCCCCCTTGCCCCTGGCGCGCCCATTTGGCGTCTCCGCGAGGCATGACGAGCGAAGAACATCGAAGCGCGACGAGGAAGAGGAGGACGAGGAGGAGGAAGAGTAGGAAGAGGGGGAGAAAAAGGAGGAGGAGGAAGATTTGGAGGAGGAGGAGGAGGAGGAGGAGGAGGAGGAGGAGGAGCGATCAGCGAGGAGGGTGATGGAGGAGGAACGAGGTGGAGGAGGATCACTGCAAACCCAGAAGCCATCAACGACATTGCAATGAACCCTCACTCCAAGCTCCCTCTTCGTAGGCCTCATACAAGGCTTGTTTTCACTGAAGGAAGAGCGCCCTTGGAAAACAACCGTTTGAACATCTTGAAGTGTGCCAGAACGCAATTCCTGGGACGAGCGCCGCGAGTCACTGTCACCGTTGCGCCCTGACGCCCCCGAACCGTGCCAGAACGCCGTTCCTGGGCCTGACAGCCCTGACAGCCCGACATCGTGCCTAGACACCACTTTTGGGACGTTAACCATGCGAATCCTTGGAACTGTCGTCATCTCTTGAGACGACTGTGCGCGGCGCGAAGGCGAGAGCCACAGTTTGAAAAGGAACCGCCCTCAATCCACGAAGCTCTTTTGCACTTTTTTGAAGCGAATGTGCGCGGCGCTAAAACAATAACCTCATGATGAAAGGGACCCGCCTTTAATCCGTGAAACTGCTGCCACTTAAGCTTCAGGACCATACACGGTGAGGAAGTCTTAGGCGAAACGCCCGGCCCGCCCTTCCGACTGGCCTTGGGGTGCGACAGGGAGGAGTTATCCAGACATGAAAATTCATAGAGGGAGAGCGAGGAGGAAAATGGGGAGGAGGAGGAGGAGGTGGAGCACCAGGAGTACGAGGAGGAGGAACAGGAGGAGGAGGAGGATGAGGAGGAAGAGGAGGAGGAAGAGGAGGAGGAGGAAGAGGAGGAGGAGAAGGAGGAGGACCAGCGTAGACCCCCTCTCTCCAAGATCCCTCTCGTAGGCCCCTACAGGAGGTCATTTCCACTGAGGTACTTGCCCCGTTGGGGACAACCGTTTGAACATCTTGAAGCGTGTAGCCACGAGTTAACCTGACTGTTACGTCTTGGCGATCCTGAATCGTGCCAGAACACCGTTCTTCGGACTTCAACACCGCGGGCCAACGTAATTGTTGCATCCGGACAACCTTGAAACTTTCCGAAACACCGTTTCTGGTAAACATTATCCATGCGAAACAGTGAAGCTCTTGCACATGTTTTTTTTAAAAGGGTGTGCGCGGCGCTCAGGCGAGAGCCACATTGTGAAAGTCAACCGCCCTCAATCCGTGAAGTTTTTACAATTTTTGAAACGAATATGCGCTGCGCTAAGGCAGAAGCCTCATTTTGAAAATGACCCGCCCACAATCCGTTTGAACACGAAAGCGCGCGGCGCGAAGGCGAGAGCCAGATTTTGAAAACAACCCGTCCTCAATCCGTGAAGCTCTTGTAAATGTTAACAACAAAATTGAGCGAAAATGCGAGGCGCTAAGGCACGAGCCACATATTGAAAACGACCCGCCGCCCTCCATTTGTGAAGGGTTATAAATGGTGAGGAGGTCTCAGGCGAAACGCCCGGCCCCCCTTGCGACCAGCTTCGGGGTGCGACAGGGAGGATCTATAAGGAAAAACCGGGGAGGAGGAGGAGGAGGAAGAGGAGGAAGAGGAGGAGGAGGGGGAGGAGGAGGAGGAGGAGCGAGGAGGGGGAGAAGGAGGAGGAGGAGGAGGATGCTGATGAGCAGGGGGAGGAGGAAGAGGAGCGAGTAGAAGGAGGAGGAAGAGGATGATGAGGATGAGGAGGATGACAACCGTTCGAAGACCGTGCAGAATGCCCAAACATTGTTCTCGGGATTTCCACGCCACGGATCAACCTGACTATATTGCGTCCTGACGATCTGGAGTCGTGGCAGAACGCCATTTTTGGGAATTCAGCACAGCGACGCAATATAACTGCTGCGCCCGCATAAGCATGAAGCCTTCCAAAATACATTTCTGGAACTTTGATCATGGGAATCCGTGAAATTCTTGCAACTGTTCAAAAGGAGTGTGCGCGGCGCTAAGACGAGAGCCTTATTTTGAAAAAGAGCCGCCCTCAATCCGTGAATCCCCAACATTTTTTTAAAGCGAATGTACGCGGCGCTAGGGCGAGAGCCATATTTTGAAAACTGACCTCCATCAATCCGCGAAACTCATTGCAATTTTTGAAAACGAATGTGCGCGGCGCTAAGGCGAGAGCCACATATTGACAACGACCTGCCCTCAATCCGTCAAGCTCTTGAAACTTTTTGAAACGAATGTGCGCGGCGCTACGGCGGGTGGACTAACAGTGTCCAGACGTGTTTCGCCAAGACCTTGAGTCATTAAAGTGCGTCGGACCAAAATGTATACCAAGAGTTTCGTTGTTTCGTTGATGTGGGTTTGTTTCGTTGCAGAACTGGACTCATGGATAGAACTGGTCACATAACTTGTCATATAACTGGTCCACTACAAACCGTGTCCGGCATTCGAAACATAACTAACCGAAATAAATATTTTAGATATTCAAAGTGTTTAATTTGAGACGACCAGTTCTATGTCTGACCCTATTTTAAATGGACCAGCTCTATGACCAGTTCTATGACCAGTTCTATCCAGCTGTACCAGTTGTATCAGCTCCACGCACTTCTCCACGCAAAGGGAAGCCGCGGGGCTGCCAGGGCGCGCCGTTGTGTATTTTTGTTGTTTGGGCCCCGCGCTTCGTTGCATTTGCTTTGCCTTGCATTGCGTTGCACGTCCGCGGTTTGCATTGCAGTGTGTTGAGTGCGCATCATCGCCACCATCACCGCCATCATCACGCGCCGTCGTCAACTTCACGCGTGACCATTGCGTTGCCTGGGCTCGAATTGCGTGGCCACGGGTCCTATCCTCCGCATGAGACGTACACACATTTGAAGCAGCTCGCATCAACAGCATAACCACCTTGACAGGGTTGATTACCACGCTGGGTGGACTAAAAGTGTCCACACGTGTCTCGCCAAGACTGTGAGCCATTAAAGTACGTTGGACCAGCATGTATACCCCTCTTCCCCTAAATTCAAAATTGACGGGTTCAGGCGGTAGGCCAAAGGCCAGGGACAAAATTTGGTCCCTTCAATTTTGGGTTTTGGGGGGAGGGGTGCGAAGTAGGGCATTTCGGAGTTGTGTTGTTATTATGTTACATCGGTTTCCCGCTTGGGTGTGCACTCTTTTTGTGCGGGCGCCTTAATGCGAGAGCCATATTTTGAAAACGACCCGCACCCCATCTGTGAAATTGCTGTCATTTTCAAAGCTTCAGAGTCATAAGTGGTGAGGAAATCTCAGGCGAAACGCCCGGCCTGCCCTAAAAACTGGCCTCGGGGTGCAACAGGGAGAAGTTACTTATGAGGGAAAGGAATGGAGCGAGGAGGAGGAGGAGGAGGATGAGGAGGAGGAGGAGGAGGAGCCGACCACCCTTGTCAGCCACGGCCGGTGAGATCGCCCGAGCATCCATGGAGGATTCAAGCCTTGAAGCCTCTCGAAATGGAAACGGTGCGACTGGGCAACGCCCTGCTCCGTACCACTACTTCGTTCTTGCACCACGCGTTTCAGGCTGGGGTGTCCGCCATGAAGGAACACCCGAGCACGAGTGTCCACTGCCCATTTGCCCCCCCTCTCCGCGGAAACTCAGCCAAATTCAAGTCCTTATTGACAAGCGTAACGTTGATGCTGTTCATATTCATCAATGCATGCTCGGAGCAAGTTGCAAGAAGATGACGACTCCCAAGACCCAGGGCGAGAGGGTAGGGGGAGGGGCAAGCCCCGTCCCGAAGGGGAAGAGAAGGGTTGGAAGAGGCAACGCTCGAAGCCACTCATGCCCTAAAGGGCTGGTGGGATTTGTAATGACAAGGGGCGGACTATGCAGCCTGAAGGGAGTCCGTCGCGCACAGCGCCAACGACCACTGAAGACGGCCCAGGTCACATGTTCCGAGCCAGTGCTCGCCCCGCACCGACCCACATGCCCACCACAGCGGATCACGGCAGGGACGGCGCACGAACACACAGTAGAGCACGCAGGAAAGGGTGGCGATCTCAAGTGCAGGAGGATGAGGATGAGGATGAGGAGGAGGATGAGGATGAGGAGGAGGAGGAGGAGGAGGAGGAGGAGGAGGAGGAGGAGGAGGAGGAGGAGGAGGAGGGAGGAGGATGAGGTGGAGGATGAGGAGGATGGTGGAGGAGGATGGTGGTGGATGATGATGAGGAGGAGGAGGAGGAGGAGGATGGTGGATTGAGTCGAGGGGGGGAGCGAGAGCCGCACGAGCGAACGCCGCGATGGGCGCCCGTCGACGTTAGACGCGCATTTCG